TTTAAAATCTGCAGAGATAAAAATACCGCACATTTATAAGCATGGGGACTTTTAAAATAATAGTAAGGTTTTTGGTAAGGGAGCCTGTGCATCACTGCTCCCCTGCTCTTGGAGCCTTGGTTTTTTTCCACCCGCCCCAAAGCTGGGCCCGTGGGAGACCCCCAGGGCCAGGTGCCTCCCCACCTGCAGCCAGGCCTGCGGTGCCCCCGGGGCCCTCTTCACTCAGAGCAATTAGCTGGCCAAGCCACACCTGTCCCCTGCCAGCCAGCTTTTCCAAATATCCTGCTTGCTCAGAGCTGAAGAGGGAATGACGTCAGAGGATGAGTTGCCCCTGGCAAGGGGCGAGAACTCCAGGACGCTGTAATTTGGAGTTGGTTCAATGAAATAGCAAGTCAGCAGCCACACCTCTGCTCGGGCGCCTCCTTGCAGGCTGCTGCTAACCCCTCTCAGCAGGTCTGTGTCCCCGGACGGGGCAGGAGCCTGGTCTAAGCCGTCAGGACGATGCGGAGCTTTAGACACAGGAGGCAATAGTACCATGTAGGTTGAAAGAATCCTTATAGACCCAAGATCGTCCTATTTTTATTCAGAGGAATGACTCCGAAGTAGACCCGAACACCCTGGAAACATTTTTAAACAGTCAGTGCCAGTGGGGTTTGTCTTCATCATCCCCCACCCCCACCACCAGTGGCAAGGTCGGGCCTTCACAGGGTAAGCTCTCGGCTGGGCCCCGTGAAGCCGTTGCCTACAAGGCGAAGCCAAGTTCATGGTCAAGACTACAGGCCTTCCTTCCTTTGAACTTTGACTACCTTCTCAGTTCCTGTGCTCGTCCTCCCCTCTACACATCACGCCTCAGCCCTGCCATCCACCCCCTGCCCTGCAGTACCACCTGGTTTACCCTTTTCCAGCGCGAAGAGACATCTCCAGGAAGCCTGCCCTGCCTTCCCATAGTACCCGCTGTGTCTCCCCATCACTGTCCTGAGCGTGGAGCTTGGTAATCTGTTTGATGCACAGTAGACTGTTGAGCAACAGGGTTTGAGCTGCACGGGGCCACTTTTACAGATTTTTTTCCATTAAACACTGTACACTACAGTAAATCTATTTTCTTTTCCTTGTGATTTGCTAAATAATATTTCTTTTTTTAAAGATTTTATTTATTTATTCATAAGAGAGACGGGGGGGAGGGGGGGCAGAGACATAGGCAGAGGGAGAAGCAGGCTCCATGCAGGGAGCCTGACATGGGACTCGATCCAGGGTCTCCAGGATCACGCCTTGGGCTGAGGGCGGCACTAAACTGCTGAGCCACCCGGGCTTCCCAATATTTTTCTTTTTTTTTTTAAGAGATTTAATATATTTATTCATGAGAGAGAGATAGAGACACAGACAGAGGGAGAAGCAGGCTTTGTGTGGGGAGCACCATGTGGGACTCCATCCCAGGACCCTGGGGATCACACCGTGAGCCAAATGAAGATGCTAGAGCACTGAGCCACCCAGGTGCCCCACTAAGTGACATTTTCTTTAGCTTACTTCATTGTAAAAATACAGTATGTGTAATTCATATAATATACAAATACATGTTACTTGACTGCTGGCATTATTGGCAAGGCTGTTAGTAGTTAGGGTTTGGAGGGGGTCAACAGTTACACGTGGATTTCTGATGCTTCAGGTTGTTGGTGTCCCAACCACCACATTGTTCAAGGGTCAACTGGATATCTGTTTTCCTCCTAGGCTGCACGTACCTTCAGGGAATGCCCGTATCGTATTCATCTCTGTATCTCCAGCACTTTGTATACCTCTGACAACAGTTCCAGCTCAGCTGATGCTTTTGGAAAGAATAAATAATCAGAGGATGTATAGGATTAAAAAATGCAAAGTTATGGGGACATTTTAATGTAGGTCTATAGATACATGTTTCCCATTAAAAGGAAGCTTAAGATTGGTAGTGTAGGTTTAAATACTCACTCTTTAATGTATTTTATTTTATTTTTAATGATTTTATTTATTTATTTGGTAGAGAGAGAGCGGCAGAGGGAGAGGGAGAAGCAGAGTCCCCGATGAGCAGAGCCCCAGCATGGGGCTTGATCCCGGGACCCTGGGATTATGACCTGAGCTGAAGGCAGACACTTAATCAACTGAGCCACTAAAGTGCCCAATACACACTTTTTTAAAAAGAATATTCTATCTGGTAGTGTCTAATTAAGGGAGACCTGGAATTAAATACTTGGTAATAGAAGTCTTTGGTTTTATCATTAGCTTGTGGTCTACTTACTTTGACTCCCAGGGTCTGTGCTTCCTATCATTCTCTGGGAACCCATAAGGGGACCTTCTCAGACTGAGTGTATCGTGCTCTGTCCCTCATCGGTGACGGGTGCTCATTTTATGCCTTAACCCACTGGTTTGACAGAAGTGCTTTCCTAATCCCTAAAACTGCAGCGACTTCATAGCAAAGATAAGGAACAAGGTGGGAGATAGAGCCACCGTCATGAGAATCCCTCTCAGCCCCTCTGGGCAGGTGGCAGCCGCTCTGCTAGTCCTGCTGGGAGTAGGCGTCAGTGTTGGTGACACTTGTCTCCTGAGAGCCTTGGTCCTGCTTTGAGCAGAGGCAGGGCCTCACGTGTCCTCAGAGTTTACTCCGGTAGATTATTTCTGTCCCGGGCCCGTGGAACTGGAGGAGGTGAAACACATATGCCAGGTACATGAGCAACATCATGATCATTACGCTGATGGAAAAAGTTCATCCCTTTCATTGGCTTGAGAGCGTCGAAACGGCCTCTGGGGAGATGACCAGTACAGCCCGTATCCTTACCCTAGCAGGATCCCACTGTGTTTCGTCCCAGCCCATGTGGAACCACTTTTTGATTTAGATTGCGAGTTTGTGTTTTCTAACACAGGTGGCTTTTTTGGGAAGAAAAGCCCATGTGAATCCTCCTTTTTCACTACTATTCCTGGGCTCTGGTTTCTCCGTCCATACAATGAGGTAGTTGTCACAGATAATCTCGGGAATTGTGTCCAGCTTTTAAAATTCTACTTTATAGTTCTGTCTCCTTTTGTTGTTCGTATTTCAAATCCTCAAATCATTACTCTTATATTTTTGTGAGAAGAACAGGCAATCAGCCTTTAATTCCCCACAGGTAAATGGCAACCTTTATGGGAAAAATATATACGTTGAAAAGACAGCTCTCGATTGTGATGACATAAACGATTGCCATTTTCAAGGGCCGATAACTAAGAAATTACAGGAAAGCATTGAATCTTCTGCCAATATTGCTGCCGCAACCTGAGAAGGCCTGAGTACAGAGGATATTTATACATTGGGTTTCAGAAGAATAATTCAAATGCACAAGAGCCTCATCTTGTAATGTTATCACAAGAATGTCCAGACAATGTTTTCTTTAACTCCGGGAAGAGCAATTTAGAAGGCTGGATTCTGCCACATGGGTCCAGCTGCATGTTTAATACTCTTGGAAAAAAAATGTTCTATAAACACAGAAATCACCAAGCATGGATGCTTGAAGGATATTTCTTTCTTTGCTTACCGTTGTCAGGACCATGTATACACAAGAGCACAAAATTAATAAACACGATCAAATTTACTGTTATTATAAACCAGGCAGCAATATTTTATTTGCACCACAGGCTTTTCTGGAATTTCACTCTTCAATGGTTCAAAGCACTGGACATCGAACCAAGCGTAATTAGAGTTCTCGAAACGTGGCTCAGAGTTACATAGTCAGTCTGCCTAGGTAACAATTTGTAAAACTTGGGGATCCCTGGGTGGCGCAGCGGTTTGGCGCCTGCCTTTGGCCCAGGGCACGATCCTGGAGACCCGGGATCGAATCCCACATCGGGCTCCCGGTGCATGGAGCCTGCTTCTCCCTCTGCCTTTGTCTCTGCCTCTCTCTCTCTCCCTCTGTGACTATCATAAATAAATAAAAATAAATAAATAAATAAAATTAAAAAAAAACAATTTGTAAAACTTTTCACTTTTAGCCAGTGAAATACTGCCACATGGGAAAATATTCCTAAAGGCGACTGAGTCTGTGTTTTTAATGCCCAGGAGCACATCTCTGCACCACCCATGCCCACAGTGGCTTGAGAAGCTCCTCCCCCCTCCCTCTGCCCGGTCTTGTCCCCCCTCTGCCCCTGCACACTCTCTGCTCACCCTGGAAAAAAATGCAGGGTGACTGGCACGGAGCTGCATTCCTGTTCCTCTCTGAAGGTCTCAAGGTATTGTCTGGAGAGCCACTGACTGCATTTCCCACTGTGTGATCATCTCTGTTCTTGGAAGCCAGCCTCCCCCTTTACCCTGCTGTCTGGATACCTGGGCAGCCCAAGGGTAACCTTTTCATAGGGGAGAAGTGACTCGCCCCCCGGAACACATGATAGTTTTTCTAGTGCAATGACAGGTTGTGCTTCCCAGTGTCACATCACGGTCAAGGGTAATGCTCCTTTGGCACCTCAGGTTTATCAGCTCCCATCCCCCCTCCCTCTGGACACTGTGGTTTCTTACTCTTCAAATTTATGCATTAGCAAGGGGAGCTCATGGAAAATACTTTTATAGAAATGAACATATTGTTTCTATCCCGGCCTTTCTATTTTGGGGGTAGGGAGAAAGGGAGGATGTAAGGCCGCGTCGCACGTTTGAAGCACACAGCCAGCCTTGCCAGGGTGAGAGCTCTGATGCTGGCTCTCCCTGTGTCCAAAGTTGACATAGCTTTTTGTGACACTATCAACAATGGTGGGGACTTTTAAGTAGTGGAATGCGTTCAAACAACAGAACTGCCCCCAGGCTCTCGCTCTCTCTCTCTCTCTCTCTCTCTCTCTCTCTCTCTCTCTCTGTGTGTGTGTGTGTGTGTGTATCACTGAAAATCACAACTGTTGAAAGGCTGAGTTTCAGTTCTTTACCCGGAGGGGATCCCATCCCTTGGTCAAAGATGACAAGAGACAGCAGGACGGCATCGTGACTGTGCTCACAGGGACCTGTACTCTCTCCTTTCTGATAGGTTGCTGAAGAGCCAGGAGTCACCATGACCGAGCGCTTTGACTGTCACCATTGCGAAAAATCCCTCTTTGGCAAGAAGTACATCCTGAGGGAGGAGAGCCCCTACTGTGTGGCATGCTTTGAGGCCCTCTATGCCAGCACTTGCGAGGAGTGTGGGAAGCCCATCGGCTGTGACTGCAAGGTACCCCTGGGTCTCCCCAATCCCCGGCAGCGCCCACACTACTCTTGGATCCCTCGAAGCTCCCCAGAAACCATGGGCTTCTGTGGGGTTCGTGCTGGAGCTCTGAACCTTAGTGCCTATTGAAATTCTGTCTCTTGAGCCCCCTCTGATGGGCTCGTTCCCTCCAGGCAGCCTTTCCGAGCCTCCTCCCTGCGGCTGGTCTGTGCCCACACCTAACTCACCTGGCTCATCCGGGGCAGAATGCAGAGGGCTCTGTGCCGTGCTCAGCCTAGCCTTAGTCCAGCCTGGACCACCGAGAAGTGCCCCTGGAGGTCCCCCCTGGTGGCTGGGATCTCTGATAGCTTCACCTGCTTATCAGTTGCTAAAACCCACTTGACAGTACTATAAGTGATTGTCCTCCTTGGAGCCACAGAACTGGTACAGAATGGGGGCACTTGGGGAGCTCCCAAGGAATCCCCAGCTTCATGGACTTCAGGGTCATTCGTGGCATCTTGGTGTCTCTTTTCTGCTCTCCCCCCTTGTACCCCGCAAGGGCCCCTCTCCTCCATGGTCATGAACGTCAGGACGTAGCTGCTGCCTGATTGGGTCAGGCCGGGTCTGCAGCTGGGCAGCTCCAGCCGAGCCAGTGCACGTTCCTGATGTTTCTGTCCTCTAGCATGTCATTCCCAGGAAAGGCAGGAAGCAGAGGGCCGCACCATCACTTTCTGCTGCTGGGTATTTGGTGACGGTTGGGAAACAGCTCCCATCCTGTGTGGAGAGAAGCCTTTGCCCCAACAGAGATGAAGGCTCTGCAGCCTGGGCCACTTGAAACCAGGCCACAGCCACGTAACTTCTGGCTAGGGACAGGGGAGCCCTGCATAAAAGAAACCAAACAGCAGAAGTCCTGCATAAACTTCAAAATGTGCAGAGGGTGGGCTGCCGTGAGCAAAAAAGTGGCTGATCTTGCTAGTCTGAAAAGCTAGATAGCATCCTGTCTGCAGTGTTGTCTCATGTATGTCTCGTTCTCCCTCGTGGGTTCTTAGAAGGCTTTATTCTTTATTGACCAGGCCAGACATAAATATAAACTGCCCAGTTCCAGTCCTGGCTCTGTCTAACTATCTGTGTGAGCTTGGGCTGATTTCTTGATCCTTTTGTGCCTGTCTTCCCCTTTATGAAATGCAGATAAAACAGGTGCCAACTTGGTGGGGTTACTACAGCATGTGGCTACGAAGCCTCAGCACCCCAAATAGCAGTTCATGGTTTTGTAAACTCCATCTAACTACTTACTCATTACTCTTCCTGCAATGCAGTCCCTCCACGCACCCTCTGGAAGCTTCGCCCTCTCTCTCTTGATCCATTTCCAGAGTAGAAACATCAATAAAAATGTCCAGTAGGAGGAAGAACTAAGAGAGAGAGAAAAAAATAATTCTTTTATAAAAATTTAATAGGCTTAAGTAGGTGAGAGGTTCAAATATTTTGACAGAAAACAACTCTGGTTTAGAGGAAACGTTTTGGATATTTGGGACTAGTCATCCTTGACCGGAGGCTAAAGTAAAAACAAAACAAAAGTCCCCTCTCAGTTCTCCAACATGATTTAGTGCAAAGACCCTTAAAACTAGTTTCCCTTCGGCACATACTTGATGCGCAGATAAACAAGAATCCCCCAAATGGGGCCAAAATCAACAAGACTGCTGCAAAGCCAGGAGTTAATCATGCTGAACTTTTCAACCCAGATTCACGGTTTATAATACATGGAGTTCCGCCGTGTGGTTGTCTACATTTTGGAAGGAAAAAGGATGCCTACTTGAAGTTTGACTTGGCTATTTGGGGCTCTTGAATATTTGGAATTGTTTGCTTGACTTTCAGAAGTAATTATGTAGTTGACTTTGTGGAGGAAGCAATGATAGGAAAAACATTCCTGTTATTTCAGGAAGTAGACCCGAAAGTCCTGGCTTGATAGAGCCACTGAGCTCACAGATGTGGGGGCTCTTCCCTTTTCTTAAAACAGCAGAGTCACCAGGAGCCCCACTCACCTCCTCCTCTGAAGGACACACTTGCACGTGTATATAGATTTGAAATACTGGCACACCGATGGGTGTTGAGTGACTTTTATGTGATATAGATGAGATTTCAGGACCTGTCTCCGTAGGTAGCTCCCATACGTTTGAAAACGTTTCTGTGCGCTTACTCAGATGTATTTGCTATTTAGGTTTAGTTGCTCTGAGGAAATGGTGCGCTCTCCAAGGAGAGAAATCATTCACTTCAGGACCAGGGGAATAGGTGAGAGCGGGTAATGCAAACAAAATTTCATGATCCTCTAACATTACCCTGTTCCTGAAATTTTTCTTGGACATCTGTGGATACTAGCAAAAAAAAGTTTTTTGGCCTGATTACAGATATTTTTGGATGGATCTCCTTAGATTCGGAGCTTCAAAAAAATCAAGAAACTAAGGAAAACGTAGGCGGGGCCCGTAACTCTAGAGACAGCTGCCAGTGCTGGGCACTTCACAAATCAGGGACTTGAACGACCTCTGGGCCACATGGCTAGCTCAGTTTGTTTCTAGAACACACTTTCTAGCTTCTGAGTAATTAGGTGGGAAACACCAAATTGATAATCAATTTGGCGCAAGTCCACCCACCAAACTGTTTCTCAGCGAACATCTGGAAAGCTTTTAAGGATCAGAAAGTCTCTGGGGTCCTTGGGCAGAAAGCAGCCAGGCAGCTGAACCGGGAGGCGGAGGCTCTTACCTGTCCACGTGAAATCTCGATGTCTCTGCCATGCTTCCAGAAGGCTCCTGACCACGGCTGGTGTAGGAGGCATGAGGTCAGATTGGAAACGCCCGTTCTTCCCGCCCTGGAGCAGGACTCAGGCCTCCCTCCGCCCGCCCTCCTGGGCCTTTGTGGGAAAGGCTACTATTCCAGACACGTTCCAGACACGTCCTCACCGTCCAACTCCCACACGCAGCACTTTTTTATTTGTTGAGGTGATTTTTAAGTGCTTGGTGAGTGAATCATCTTTTTAGAGTTTCCATGTAATTTGTCCGCAAAGGTTGTCATGAGCGGTGAAACTATGCTGATTTATTTAGACATCCTCCCGTCAGGGAAAAATCTGTTTCTAAGGGGAAATGAACGAAGCAGGATCCTCAGAGCCGGGAACGAGGCTGACCAGGTGGGGAACCTCTCAGGCCCCGAGAAACCAGAGGGGCCCCTGGCAGGCAGGCCACCAAAGGCACACCACGTTCGGCGGTGACGTCCCCCCCGGGGGCCTCGAGCCTCCGTGCCTGGGTTCCCTGCAGCCAGTGGACGTGTGGGGACATAGGTTGCCCAGGAGCCTCCGTGTCCACATCTGAAAACGGGCTGCCCGCCTCACAACTGTCACGGGAACTAAGTTCGCTGCCACGGCCGGGACCCCTGCGACGGCCACGCAGAGCCAGTGCTGTCCTTTCTGCCACCGTCTGTGCTCCAGGACCTTTGTTCTTAAGTATTTGGAGGCACATGCAGTTAGAAATGTGATGCCCTGACAGTCTCAAAGCATAGGACATCTTTCCAAAGTGCAGAGCGTGAAGGACTCTGAGAATCTGTCAAGTGAAATCGTGTGGATTTGAGGCAGGATGGGTTTGGGAAAACCTCGTCTGAACCCCACCCCCCCCGCCCCATCCAGGCAGAAGGGGGTGAGGGAGGGGTGTTGCCAGCAGTAGCCTGGGTTTGGAGCGACCCTGTTGCCTGGGGCCACCTTGGGCCAGCGGAGGGGCCACCGTCCTGCCTGGCCACCTGCCGGTCCCCTGGTTCAGCTGGTGTCTCAACCAGGGCAAGTTCCAGAGCCAGGCAACGAATGCTTCCCATATTAGGAATGATTCTGAAGTGGAAAAATATGAAATCTGAAAGGAAGCGTTTGGGTCTAATCTTACATTGTTTATCAACATTTTACTGCACTTTGTGACATTTCCGTAAGCACAAAATTAGCCTTGGTATTTTTTTCTGGGACGTGTAAAAGATCTTTCTTCCTTCTTTTCTTCTTTTCTTTTCTTTTCTTTTCTTTTCTTTTCTTTTCTTTTCTTTTCTTTTCTTCTTTTCTTTTCTTTCTTTCCTTTCCTTTCCTTTCCTTTTTCTTTTCTTTTCTTTTCTTTTCTTGTTTCTTTCTTTTCTCTCTCTCCCCTTCTCTCTCTCTCCTTTCCTTTTCTTTCACCCTCTCTAAAGGACTTTAAAACTATGATAGTTCCAGGACATTTTGATGTTCTTCAAAGTCAGTGAGTCTGTACCTCTTAACCTTGTACCTCCAGCATCTAAACCATGCCTTTTGGGGACTTCACGGTGTACTTGATTCGTAACAGAATCAAGCTGGATGGACTAGGTCAGTCCTAAGAACGAAAACTAACCATCTTTTTGTAGCTGCAGGTGCAAGAAAGGAGAGGGCCTCCAGGTACCAAGACTTTGAGAGAAGGACTCAGGGTGTGACATGAAGCGCGGGTCCAGGCACACAGGTGTGGTCCATTGTAACAGCTTCTGGGCCCTTGGGTCGTAGGTTCCAGCCCATCGCTCGGCTCTGGGGAATCCTGTGCCAAAAATCCTGCCCCATGCCGAGACTAATGTCATCTTGGCCAGAAGCCTCAGTGTGCCCTCAGAAAGCGAAGCTGGCGGTGTCTCATTACCTTTCTCTTGCCATAAAGTCTTTTCTCACTTCCTATGCATTGTGGGCTTTCTTAAGAAGTGAGTCCAAGAGGAAGCTGTGACATAAATTTATTAGCTTCACCCAACTTCCAAAGAGAGCACGCAGAAAGAGAATTACAGGGAAGCCTGGTAGCATAATGACTTAGATAAGGGCTTCCATGCAGGGTTTGGAGAAAGATGTTGACATGGCTCGCTGCCGTGGCGTGGTAGCTGGGGGCGGTGCACGACTTCCCTCTGGTCGGGGCAGCTCCCAGAGCAGGTGGCCTGCCAGCTGGGCCTCGCAGCTGAGCTGGATTCTGCTCGTTGAAGAGGAGGCGAAGGGCCTCCCAAGGCAAAGCATGGCATGGGCCGGGGCACAGAGGTGTGATAGGCCGGGACCTGGGCTTTGGAAAGTCTAGAAGCCTTGTGTTGATGCCCAAGTCCAGTCAAGTTGCATAGATGATATCCCAAGCAGGAAGGAGCACTTTCTAGGGCCTAAGGTCTGCTGGCACATCGGCTTAACCTGTAGCTGCTGTGTTTTCAGGTTAACTGTGTGTAAAATGGGTTTCTGCAGTGCTCCTGACCCACGGGAGCATTTAAACAAACTTTTCCAGGACTGTCCATGCATATCGGCCCCTCCGCTGCTCTTTCCTCCTGTCTGGGGGCTCCCTCAGCAGGGAGGAGACTGTAGGGGGCATCTGGTGGCTTTGTTGTCCCGTTTCACAGAGAGGTTCCTCCCTCGGTTTTTTGAAGATCAGCCCTGAAAGGCAAGTTTCCTCGAACCCAAATTTCCTTTCCCTCTTGTTTCACTAATAAGCTGTGTGGCCCGGCCATTGAGGCTGATGTTCTGGGCAGAGCTCGCGCGAGCGCTGGGCCTGGGCCTGCCTCCCCTCCGCCCTCCTGCATTCGTGCGTGCAGCCAACGTCCAGGACTCTTCATCTTGGAAAATTTGAAACTGTGTCCCCGTGAAACATTAACTCCCAGTCCCCTCCCTGCCCATCAGCCCCTGGCTCTCCACACTCTACGTCCTGTCCCTGCATTTGACTATTGGGGACATTATCTAAGCGGAATCATATTTGCCCTTTGGCATCTGGCTTATTTGCTGAGCATAATGTCCTCAGGGCTCCTCTGCGTTGTAGCATGCATCAGAATTTCCTTTCCTTTTTGAGGCTGAATAATAGTCCCTGGTGCAAATGAACCACATTTTTCTTCTTCATGCATCTGTTGATGGACTCTTGAGTGGCTTCCACTTTCTGGTGACAGGGAATAATGCTGCTATGGATACAGGTCTACAAATTCCTGTTTTTGATTCTTTATGTATATACCCAGATGCATAATTGCTGTATCACATGGTAATCCTATTTTTGATTTTTTTGAGGAACTGCCAATACTGATTTCCATAACAACAACAACAACAACAAAAAACGTTAAATGCATTTATTCCATAGTCAGCATTTGCATAGTGATAATGATTAAAAACTCCCAACTCTTCTTAAATTAGGCTGACTCCCATTCGTAGTGGACAGGGCTGTAATGGCTTGTTTGATGTTATTCAAAATCTCAACAAAGGCAGTGCTGAGCTGTATTCATTCGTGTACAAAATATGGCATTATTTGTGAATGTTTTCAGTGGATACATACGGATCTCATCAAAGAAAGCAAAGAGTAACACAGGCTCTACCAGGAGTTTACCTGGGATGGTTCACTGCAAATAGCTTTCGAATCAGAGGGACATGAGCTTGAACCGTGCTTGGCTCTGCTGTGTGACTGTGAGCTCTGCTCACATAGCTGCTCTGAGCTTCTGTAATAATATTTACCTTGCAGGGATGCATGGTGCCTGAGCTCACCACCTGGCAATGAGCATCATTGACTGGTGTCCCGGGAAAAGAAAAATAATGATTTCTTCCTGGAAAAATACGGGCTTCACAATTTATAATGAGTTTGCCTATTTGGCCGTCGACTCAAATTATAGCAGTTTATACTTTGTTTCATTTGTCCAAATAACCAGTAGAGCACCCTCTCATTTAACGGTTTCCCCTCTTATTTAAATGGTTTATCCCCTCTCCAATGCCTTCAGGAGCATCTTTTTTTTTTTTTTCCTTCAGGAGCATCTTAACCTCTGTGCAGAATTTAAAGGGCCCCCCTACCCACCTCTGTCTCGCCTCTGCTATGCTTATGAACTGTCTCTGCCTGAAAGCCCCTCTCTAACCCCCTCTGCCCATGTCCCACTGTCCACTGGTCATCCACACTCAGCTGGTGGCACCTGCACCAGACATCTCTCTGTCCCCCTTCCCTCCAAGTGAAACCAGAGCCCTGTCCTTGTGGCTGCTTCTCTGAAACTCCCTATACCCGGGCTTCTCTATCCCATCCGGTGTCCCTGTGATCCCACCATCACACGCAGGCCCACATCTCTGTCCCATGTCCCTGTGATCCTGATGTCACATGTGATTTTGCTGAGCTCCCTCAGAGCTAAGGGCTATGCTGTGTCTCACTAGTTGTCAGTGAGAAGCAGTGATGAGTTCCATGCTCTCTGCTCCTCTTCCCTGCAGACGATATATAAGGGAAATCCATGTGTTTTGGGAAAGCATCTCTTTCTCACACACAGACATACCCTGTGAGCACGCGCGCGCGTGCGCACACACACACACACACACACACACACACACACACAGTTGCCCTGAAATGCAACAGGAGGAAAGTAGCCCCGCTCTCCCGGTTTCACCAGCAAGGTCATGGTCCAGGAACACGTACAGGCATCTGCCCCTCTTCACTCTCCATCTGCCCCGGGATGTGGATGGCTCTCCCGGGCTGTGGTTGGGGCAGAGCAGCCCGGACCCCCTGACCTCTCACTGTGTCACATGCTCTGGGTCTGCAGGACTTGTCCTACAAGGACCGACACTGGCATGAGGCCTGTTTCCACTGCTCGCGGTGCAAGAGCTCCCTGGTGGACAAGCCCTTCGCTGCCAAGGAGGACCAGCTGCTCTGCACGGACTGCTATTCCCATGAGTACTCCTCCAAGTGCCAGGAATGCAAGAAGACCATCATGCCAGGTCAGGAGCACGCCCTTCACCCTCGCAATGCCGCAGAGCGTGCTTGCACTTTTCTTGCCTTCCCGTTGCTGACTTCATCCACAAGAGCATTGTACCCTGCTGTGTGCCAGGCGCTGGCCTGGTTGCTGGGTGCTCATGGAGTAGTGAGTCGAGAGGCATACCCCATCCTCTGTCCTCCCCGCATGCTCAACAGACGTTCGTTCTCAGTAGACTCAGACTTGATCACAGCTGGGTCAAGGGTTAAGAGTAATAAGGTGACTTGTCTGTTATGAGGAGGATGGGACTGTGTACCCTGTTTCTTGGGGAATGTTGCTTTGCTTTGTGGAACAGAGGAAGCTTTTATCTTAAAACCTTGAATGTATAGAATTCTTAAATACAGAACCAAAAAAGTCTTGATAGACACATACAGAAGGAGAGTAGCCACAAGGGGGAAGAGCCTGAGATGTGGACCCTGGGTGAGTGAAAGGCACACCTGTCGGCTGGGGCTAGCTCACAAGCCACGTGCCACCTGTGGTGTCATCTGCATGACCAGTAAATGTTACCAGAGGGTAGATTTGGTGGGATCAGCAAATAAAAATACAGATTCCTGGTTCAGTCTGAGTTGTAGGTAATTTTTTAGTATCTGACCCATTTGGGACATCTTTTTAAAAAACTTTTACTTATTTATTCATGAGACACAGAGAGAGAGAGAGAGGCAGAGACACAGGCAGAGGGAGAAGGAGAAGCAGGCTCCTGCAGGGAGCCCCATGAGGAACTCAATCCCAGGATCCCGGGATCACGTCCTGAGCTAAAGACAGATGCTCAACCACCGAGTCATCTAGGAGCCCCCCATTTGGGCCATCTTGAAACTGGCATCCCTACCAGGGAGTCCCAGGAACCCAGGAGAGAGCTCTGTGCTCTGAATGTCTGCTGGAGGTGTGGCCCCCATGGAAGGACTAGCGTGAAGCAGCGGCTAGGCCCCTGGAATCCAGTCAAGTGGAGGAGCTCACTGGCTGGGGACCCAGCCTGCCGTGAGCCATGGAAGTTTTGGAGAGATGTAGCCCTGAGGCCTCCTGTTGGCAGAGCTCCTCTTAAATCAGGCTTAGGGTGGCAGGAAGGGTGCCGGTCCTGCTGAGAATCTCCAGCCAGCTGTCCCTTGCACCCACATTGCCTGGGGTGTGCCCACCCTCAAGACAGCCTCTGAAGCGGGTATACATCTTTTATCCCAGGGAAGTTAGGATTAATGGCAGAGGTAAAAATAAAAAAAAATCTAACCCACCATAATGTATTCAATCTGATAAAGTAGGTGTGAAGTTTCCAAAAAATGTGGTCTAAAGAGGAAATTAAAGTGTATAACTGAATATATGATTTAGGCTCGTGGTTTCAAATTGGAATTTTCTTAATTTATCCCCTGTTGTGACGTTCAAGGTGTTTTATGATTCATCATGTTTAGAAGCCTAATTCATTTCAACAACAATCACTTAACTTGAGGTTGGGTTTGTTGGTTGAGGTTCTTAAAAGGGATGCTGTATGTGTGAAACTCTCAAGTGTAGTTTTAGAGGAGTTGAGGTCTAGGAGCACCTGGGTGGCTCAGTTGATTAAATGTCCAACTTTTAATTTTGGCTCAGGTCATGATTTCAGCCCCATGTGTCTCTGCACGCTGCTTGAGATTCTCTCTCTCTCCCCTCTCCCTCTGCCCCTCCGCTGCTTGTGTGGGCGCATGGGCTCTCTCTGTCTTTAAAAAAATAAGATAAGGGGCTGCTGGGTGGCTCAGTTGGTTAAGCATCTGCCTTCAACTCAGGTCGTGATCCCAGGGTCCTGGGATCGAGTCCCGCACTGGACTCCCTGATCAGGGGGGAGTCTGCTTCTCCCTCTGCCTCTGCCCCTGCTTGTGCTCTCTTGCTCTCTGACTCAAATAAATAAATCAAATCTTAAAAAAAAAAAAAAAAGAGTTGAGGTCTGTACCTTAATAAATAGAAGTAAACACAAAGGTCCCTTAGAAGTAATTTTTAAAAATTCACCATATTCATTAATGCTGTGATAAGATGTGTCCGATGAATGGAGGTCAAAGGTTTTGAGTTGGTTGCATCAACAGATTGTTAATTTTCAAAAACCCAGTAGCCTGCTGAGTCACAGGATGTCACACAGGAGCTGGGTTCACTCTGACGTGTGATGGGAATTAGGGCCCCCACGTTCATTTAGAGCCAGACTCTTCGGTGGAAGACTGCTTGCTGTGGTGCAGAGTTTTCCTTTTTATTTTTGGTTTGCTTTGTTTTTGGCAACAAAGAGCTACTGAAGAGTGAGCGAGAGACTGACGTGCGGAAAGTGTTATTTTAGGGAGACAGATCGGATAAGAAGGAATACATTTTAAAAAGGCAACGGCATAATCAGGCCTTCGGTGAGATGGTTTCTTATGGCTGCTACATTTCTCTGGTTAATACATCTTAAAAATAACTGACTCCGTGCTATTAGAAGGAACAAAACCCCCAGAGCAAGGCCGCTTCCAGAGCTGCGTCAGCACGGCAGATGTGGGAGCAGGGCCCAGCATGGGGGCTGTGAAACGAAGACTGAAGCCCACATAAGGCTGGGCCGACCCACAGGGAACTCCTGTCCCACAGGGGGTCACACATGGAGACAGCGGTCCCGGCACGGTGGCAACCACGAAATTTAATGAGAAACAAATGAAATCTTTACTGAGTGTTCTTGACAAGAGCCCATGGAAGTTTCCATTCTGCCTGACAGCGAGTGGACTGTCGCCATCCCCTTCCCCACCCCGCTGCCCGCCCCCGCCCCAGCTGCGGAGACTCCTGCTCCCCTACAGCGGGCTCTGGGGAGCCCACGTTCTTCTTGTTCATCATGCGCACCATTTGTTTGCTTTGCTTTGCTTGCTTGTTTGCTCCTCCTCAGCAGAACTCCTGCTGGCCTGACTGGGACAGGCTCCTGCCGCACCAGGGCTTAGGGTGCCATGTGAGGTCACACGGACACCTGGCACCTACGGCTGGCCACGGACCCTTCAGACAGCCGAGGGAGTTTACCGTTAGGATAGTGCCCTGTGTGGGTGCTAGAGAACCCCCCCCCACGACCCAGCTCAGGCACTTGCACTGAGAGGCAGCTCCGTCCCACGATAGGGAATTGTGAGGGCATTGACACGCTAAAATGACCTGAAGGTGCACCTGGCCTTGTCTCCCAGCGAAGAGAGCAGAAGTTCCAGTGGCGTGCCCCCGGCTGTGGTCAGCCTGGATCAGGACTTTGTGTGGGGCTCTGGCCTCAGAGCTCTGATCTCCCTGTCGGCAAGATTGGAGGGTGGCCCGGAGCCCGCAGGTGTGGACGACCGCTGACTTCCTGCCACCTGGGCAGCGGTGGCTAATGCAGAAGGTGGAGGGACAGAGGACATGTAGGAGAAAACTGCCCGGAATGGGGTGCTTACCGCCCGGCTAGAAGGAAGGCAAAACAGCAGCATCGGCCTCCTCTCCGATTCAGGGCCTTGGCATAGTCCATGTGCGTTGGGCGCAGGGCCGGAACCGGGGGCAGGGGTCCCTGCTTGGCTGCGCAGGAGCAGGTGGTCCTAGCGCCTTGCAGCGAGGGGGACCCTTGGTCTCCCTGGCCCCACGACTGCCACTCGGAGTCACTTTAAATTCTCAAGCAGTCCTGCCAGTGTCCTTGGCCCACCATAGTGTCTGTCCCAGCTTCCCCCTAGCTTTGGGGCTCCTTCCCCAAACTGTCGGTCCTCAGGGCAAATCTAGAAACTGCCAGGTTTGGGTTTCAGCCTCCCTGCTCTCCGGCTCTGACTTTGCACAGGTCAGTGCCCCTCACCGAGACGTCACTAGGGCAGCTGGGCTCTTCCAGGGCAGCATGGGGAAGGGGCCCCGGGGAGGTCACACTAGAGCATCAAAGGGTGAGCTGGGTTTCACCTGCTAGAGGCGTCCCAAAAGGGCACTTGTGGCAGAGGACATGGGCTCAGCGCCAGAGGCCGAGTGTCCAGAAGAAGCTTGGTGAGACAGACTGAGAAAGAGAGAGAGAGGAGAGGGCCAGGGGAGGGATGGGAAAGAAGAAAGGGAAGGGAAAGAAAAAAAAAGTGCTAAATCCTAGCATGTACTTCCTTTCTGCGGTCTGATTTTTGAACGTGCTACAACTAAATCCAGATGAATGGGAGCGCGGTTCATCCGAGTAGCTCTGGCAGTGAATTTAGGGTTTTAGAACAGGAGGCTGGTACTGGCTCACAAACGCGCCCCTTGGCCCCCTACCTGACACAGGTCCCACCCCCGAAGTAGTCAGGAAACCAGGAGTCCACTCGCCCGATGCCCCCGGCCTGACGCCCCCGCTCTGCAGCTCTTCAGTTGCAAGCCGGCCTCCGCCTGCAGAGCAGTCGTGCAGATGCACTGCTTCCTCCGAGCAGCCTCCCAGGCACTGGCCCTTCACCACCTTTCCGGATCCTCACTTATTCCTTTCAATCAGAAAGAGACACCCCTTCCTCGGGACCCCAATCCACCTGCGGGAGAAGCCGCGGTGGTTAGAAGGCCCCTTGCTGCCACCTGCTGGCAGTGCGTCCAGCACACGACGCAGCCCGAGAAGCTGCGGCTAACGGTGAGGCTCATAGGCGCCCCCCACTCTGTGGGCTGCAGGTGCCCCTGGGCTCCCCACCAGAGACCAGGCAGGTCTCTGACCCTGGCCTGGCTGTTAGAGGGCGGCTCCCGCACACCGGGAACGCACGGAGCCCAGCCTGCGTGTGGTCTTCAGGGAGCAAGCTGTTGCCCTGTGTGTATTTGAGCTGCTCTATGAGCAGAAGGCCAGAGATTAAAAGAGCCAGTGGCAAAAACACACGTGGAAGGATGAACCCCTGGAGGCAGAATCATTCCAGATGTAGATCCCAATTCTCCCACTACTTTTATCCGAAGTTCGGGTGCTCGGTGTATTCTCCTAGTATAAGGTTTCGGGAGCCCACGAAGATCATCAGGTGCCCCACCTTGAATTTCCTCACACGCCTCCCCACCTTGCAGCACCTACACTCACCCTGAGTGTTTTACGTACTTATGGGAGGTGGTGCCACATGTCCTGTCTTGGACGTACAGGAAGCTGACACATTAACCCGAAAATGACCTTGAATAAGATAATCTTGCTGCAATTCTCCGCACATCTCCTAATTTCTTCGGAGATGGAGATCTCCCTGTCACGTCAACCTTGCAGGCAGTCCGCATGCAGCCCTCAGCCTGTCATTTTGGCCATATTAGCTTTGGATGGGAGTTTCCAGATGCTTGCATCTCGCGGCCCGCGTGATGCCAGCATGCAGCCACCCTGGACCAAAGTGGGAGCCCCTGCTCGCTGCTTAATAACCACCCCGGATCCTGCTTTGAAGTCTAACTGGTGTGTCCTTCATGCCACAGCCCCTGGATGCCCAGTGAGCCCCCGGGCTGCCTAACATGTTTCCAGAAAAAAACCAGACCACTACCTGGGGCCTTGAAGGCCGCGGGGTCTGTCTCAGCAACCCTTTCCTGCCAATGTAGTGTGAACGCAGCCGCAGACCATTGAAGGAAGTGAGCAGGTGCGGCTGAGCTCCAGGAAAAGCCCAGCTGCAAAACGGGGGCGGCACAGACTGTGCACAGCCACAGCACCCCCCACCCCCACCCCCCGGCTGGCTCAGGTATCCAGAGCACGTTTCTTTTTTTTCACTTCTTACCCTCCTTTCCCCGCAAAATGTACCTTGTTGCTGCCTGCAAAGCGTACTTGCATACGCACATCTGTCACCTCTTTCTGTAAAATACACGTACTTTTATTCTCTTGGAAAAGTATTGGAAAATGTCCACAAATCCTGAGCATTTGCTGTGACTCCGGCTCAGGGGCGGGTTCAAGGGTGGGTGGGGGTGGGGGTGGGGTAAATCAAACAGCATTTCCGTTCTCTAGGACTTCTTCATCTACTTGAAGAAATCACATAAACATAGCACACGATAACAGTTATTCGAAAGGAAATGCAATGTCACAAGATTAGAATCAGAAAATTGCTAAATTGGCCATCCGGGCATCACTTGTAGCTTTTAACAGCTGCATTCAGTGCTGCAGGGGAGAGCGTGGAGACCCGGCCCAGCTTGGTTTACACCTCGGGTCATATAAGGTGATCGGTCGGTGTGGAGGCTCCTCATGGGATCAGGCTTGACACTCTAGGTTCATGTACAGCACCACCACTTTCCATCTGGTGTTTTTTTTTTTTTTAAGATTTTATTTATCTTCATGAGAGACACAGAGAGAGAGGCAGAGATGCAGGCAGAGGGAGAAGCAGAAGCAGGCTTCCTGCAGGGAGCCCAGTGCAGGACTCGATCCCAGGACCCTGGGGTCCAACCTGAGCCAAAGGCAGATGCTCAACCACTGAGCCACCCAGGTGTCCCTCATCCTGTGCTCATTAACTGGCTGCAGGGCTGTGTCCCACTCCCTTGGGACTGGTCTGAGCTAGGCCAGCTTGCTCTTTCTGCTTTGCCTACTGAGACATGGAGAGACAGATCCTTTTCCCACCTAACGTTCATAACCTCCCTGCTGGACAAATAAACCTCGAGAATGCACAGAGACTGTTCTGGGAGCGGGGTGTACAGCAGTGAGCCCCCCAAAATACATAATCCCTGCCCACTCCCAAACAGTCCCGTTTGGAGGCCAGCCTCTGAGAGCCACAGTGACGCCACAGTCACAAAACTAGGTGGTGGCAGGTTCTTGACGAGGGGCACTGGGAGTGCAAGCCTGTCATGTCGTCAGCTCTGCTCTTTGCCGTCTTCTTGCCCCTTGTGCCAGGTACCCGCAAGATGGAGTACAAAGACAGCAGCTGGCACGAGACCTGCTTCACCTGCCACCGCTGCCAGCAGCCCATCGGTACCAAGAGCTTCATCCCTAAGGACAACCAGAACTTCTGTGTGCCCTGCTATGAGAAACAGTACGCCTTGCAGTGTGTTCAGTGTAAAAAGGTAGCTCTCACCTCCCACTGGGACCTCATATATTCCATCCAGTCTGTTTGCCTTGGTTGTCAGCCCCCTTTCCCCGGGGACAACACCCTTGGTACTGGAATGGCACAAGAGTCTCACCTGTCCGGCCCCGCATCCCAAAATTCTCACGTGCACATGTGGATTTTATCCACTGGAAGGACCCCCATCCTAGGCCTTCTTTTGACCGCCCAAGGGCCACTGGGACCTGAGATGGGAGCCTGTAGCCCTCCCTCCTAGAGCACTGCCGAATTTTTGCTCCTATTCATGACATAATGTTAAAGGGGAGGAAAACTTACTATCCCAGAGCTCCTGTTATAGTGTCCTCCATCAGTAGACAAGAAACGAGCTGCTGAACCTCATGGGAGGGAGGGATGTGAGAAGCAAAGGAAAGTTGTGGCTGGGACAGGGGACAGGTCACTAGTTGCACCCAGCCCGCTCATCACGTGCCGTGCTGTCACGGCCATTAGGTCAAAGACAGAAAAGGAGCCCCACGCCTGCCGTCCTTTGCCCTGGCAGGGCCTGCTGGGGAGCGATCACAGAGCCTGTTTGGCTCCAGCCTGTTCACTGATGCTGCTGTTGGGCCTCCGTCTGCGGAAGAGCCCGGCTGCTGTTCCCTGCTGGTCGCCCTGACCTCGAATGCCCGACCCGCCCGCCGGCGCCTTTCCAAAGGGCAGAGTATTCCTCATCGCCTTCATGCTCTCTCGTCTCCCTCAGCCTTGTGTCCGTCTCATTTTTTAAACTACGATTTTAAATTCCACTTCTTCCAACTTCTACTCGTAAGATTATATTACTTTTCTGCTGTTTTTTATTTCCTCCTTAGATGAATCGCTCCTTCCTGTGTTTATATCAGGAAGCCTCTTTCTTCTCTGCTCACTCCCTTTTTGTTTGGTTTGCTCTTTCTCATCAAGATCCACGGAAAGTTCACGTCATTTGCTTTTCTTGCATTATTTTCCTCCCAACCTTATTGCTACTGTGTTCGGTGGCAGAAGTGAAGGTAATGCATCCTCCGGGAAGCACAGCCCTGTGGGTGTTCATCAGGACTCGTGGAAGCATTCACACCAGTAACATCCACCCTCCCGCAGTGCAGGAGGCGCTCGGGGCTACTAGGGCCTGGGGGGAAACACACTTTGGTGGCAAACGTTCAAGTGCTTATTGACAAGCGTGCTTTGGAGGAAAACAGTCGTAACAGAGCGTACACAGGGGCCAGCTGAACCGGTCGGAGGAGTGGGAGCCAAGCTGGTGTTTAAGGATGGCTGCTCCGGGACAGTGACACCCACGAGCATGTCTGAGCCAGCTGGGCCATGCGGGGTGCGGGTGGGAATGCAGAATCCGGGTGCAGAGAGGACAAGAGTGTGGATTCCACGTAGAGCAAACCTCTTACTACACCCACCTTCTCTGTCCACACAGACAACTTGCCACTGAATGTATTTTGCATAAATTCTGTTCCAAGGCAGGAATTTATAGGAAGATCATTAATACGTTACAGTTTAATGAAAAGAATATACGGTGCTCACTTCGGCAGCACATATACTAAAATTGGAACAACACAGAGAAGATTAGCGTGGCTCCCGCACAAGGATGACAGGCAAATTTGTGAAGCTGTTCCATATTTTTTATGTTGGCAAATTGAATTTAAATTCTAAAAAAATTAAAAATAAATAAATAAAAAGAAAAGAATATATGATAGACTCCTGAACCCTGGTACCTGCTTTGTCTTTAACTAGCAAAGAATTCTCAGGCAAGTCCCTTAATTTCTCTGGGTCTCAGTTTACTCGCTTGTAAAATGGATATAATGTCTGTAGTATGTAAGGGCCTTTATATAGTCGAACTTTGAACAACACAGAGTTGAGAGGGACCAACCCCCCTGCACAGTTGAAAAACCACATAGAACTTTTGAGTCCCTAAAAACTTACCTAGTAGCCTGCTGTTGACCAGAAGCCTTCCCAGTGGCATAAATAATCGATGCACACAGCTGTTGTATGTTATACGTATCCTAAACTGTATTCCTACAATAAAGTAAGTAGAGCAAAAAAAAAAAAAATTATTCAGAAAGTTATAAGAAAAAAAGCATTGACAGTATGGTACTGGGTTAATTGAAAGAAGCCCACGTACAAGTGGGCCTGCGCGGTTCAAACCCATGTTGTTCAAGGGCCAGAGCTGTGCTTTCTGTAAGGACTAGAGGCAGCGCTGGATGCCAGGGCGGGGTGACAGACGGGTCTGTCGAGCTGAGACTCACCGTCCTTCATCCACTATTGAAGTATATATATGAAAAGAGAAACATGATAAAGTTGAGGTATCGATGGCCAGTTCTGTCCCATCTGGCTCCCCGCTCCCCAGGCCTGGGGGGCACCAGGCCCAGGGGGCCAGGCCTCCTCCTTCTACCACTAGGAACTGAGTTGTAAGCGGGGTTCTCCAGTTTAGCACTCGGAGGGAGGCACGGGGATTGTCACGCGTGACCCGTGCACAGCCCACGGCTGGTTCGCAGTAGGGTTGGCATTCACCTCCGGGTCTCCCTGACGCGGCACCATCTTCACCCGCCCTGCACCATGGGGAAGCAGGCTGCCACTGGACATTTGCACTTGCAGATGCCTCAACATCCCGAGGGGCCGAGGACACACGTTGTGGTGCCGAGGTCACGGCTGGGAAAGCCAGGGTCCACGGCAGGGCCCTGAGCAGAGATGGGGACTCAAAGGGACTGACAGCTTGGGGAAGCCGTTTCTCGGTGACTTTTAACAAACATGGGACGTGTTCCGGATGGGGATCTGGCGTCGTCCAGAGGCCACCCTGCCTCGGGAAACTGAGCCTGGCCCTCTTGCCTCCTCCAGCCCATCACCACCGGGGGCGTCACGTACCGGGAGCAGCCCTGGCACCGGGAGTGCTTCGTGTGCACCGCCTGCAAGAAGCCGCTGTCGGGGCAGCGCTTCACATCCCGGGATGAGTTCGCCTACTGCCTGAGCTGCTTCTGCGACTTGTACGCCAAGAAGTGCGCCGGCTGCACCAACCCCATCAGTGGTGAGTGTCCCGAGGGGCCCCCTGAGCACTCCATGGCCACCCCGAGGTTAGATGAGGTACAGGACCTCAGCCCTTGGAATTGTTTCTGTGCCGAGACTCTGGGCCTCACCAAGGTTCCGAACAGAGCCGGTGTCTCTGCCTCTGTGCTTCCTGCCCTTGTTACACAGGGAACATGTCAGCAGGTGACACTTCCCCTCTAACTCGCTGATCCCTGAAAACCACATGGCCTGTTCTCAGGGGTCTGTGCTTTCTGCTTTCGGTGGGGTCATCCCCAAAGCCGCAGTCCGTGAGTGTGTGGCATGCGGAGCAGCACAGTCAAACTGGCATTTCCAGGCTGAGCCACTGCACTGTTTTTAAAGGTGCTCCCCAAGGGCACCTGGGTGGTGCAGTTGGTGAATGTCTGACACTTGGTTTTGACTCGAGTCATGAGATCAAGCCCCACGTCAGGCTCCGCGCTCAGCGTGGAGTCTGCTTGTGATTCTCTCTCCCTCTCCTGCTCATGCTCCCTCTCTAAATAATGAATTAGTTAGTTAAAAATTAATAATAAAGGTGCTCCCTAGCATTCTAGAGGGACTTACCTACCACAAGGCCCTGACTACGTGAGGGCAGAGGACAACGTTTTAGGTGGTTCTTTCTTATTCCCCGAAGGCTCTGGCAGTGTAAAGCCCAAAGCCTGGTTGGCTGTAGACTGGCATTGCACTAAACTATTAGATATGCCAAGAAATTGAGTGTGGAGGACAGATGGCTGTCCTCAAGTCCTGCACATGTGCACCACGCATCACCACACAAACCTGTGACTGGGCTGGAGGGAAAAGAGAATTCTGTAGTGACGGGAAAAGTTCTGGGATGTGGGATTCCCAGTTCTGCCACATTCAGGTGACTCATCATCGGCAGATGGTAGGCATGTGTGACATAAACATAGTGGCCTGGCCAAGTGCCATCCCTGTGTAATGTTGCAGTGTAATCGCACGGATGTTTATAACCTCTGTGTGCTTGTCCGTGACTTTCTTTACCCTTAGATCTAGAACTGAGTGCACCTAACTCAACCAACTCACCTTATGTAGGAAGCCCAGGTCACTAAAATAATCCTTTCATGTGTAATCCAGAGCTCATATTTCCATATAAAACTAATATATGGGGAAAAGAAGCACAGCACTTAAAATTTTCTGTTAACCTACAGATTGGAATCATTAGAGGGAGGAAATGCAGTCTTCCCTCTAACATATTAATCTTGAATGCCGTTCTCATGGTAACTTCTATGGAAGTAAATGTTTATAAAACTAAACTTTACAAAGCAATATAATCTAGATAAAAGCATTTGTAAATGTAAAGTATCAGATATGTGTTGTTATTCTCATGGTAGCGCTAGAAAAAGGAAAACAACACTAGGAAAGCAACGGATACTTTCCTCCAAAAGAGGAGGATTACTTCTCTGAAATGCAAAGACTAATGTTCTGGAACCTACAAAGGAATTTTGAAATTGCAGCTAAAATGTACTCGAGGTCAAATCCCCATTTATAAGAAATTGTGACTTAAAAAAAAATTGTGACTTTAGATTTGATGTTTAATAGATCCTTACTTGGCACTTTTTCTCTTTAGCAAAATTTATGTGATTTTTGTCAAAAAAAAATCTTAAGTCTTACTTTCCAGTGTTGTGGCCAGTGATACAAAATGTACACATAAATACAGTCAGTCCTCATTATTCAGAGCCCATATCTGCAAGTTCGCCCACTCACTGACATTTCTTTGTAACTCCAAAATCAACACTCAAGTTGCTTTCATGATCATTCCCAGACACCCAGAGAGAGGTGAAACATTGGAATCATCTGACAGGTACACTCCTGGTGGAGGTGGGATGAGGTGACACTGCCTCCTTGTTTCAATTCTTATCTTATAACCAAGGTTCCTTTTCATGGTCTGGTAGTGCCATATTGTTTGCATTTTTGTGCATCTTTTTGGCAATTTCACTGCTAAAAATGGCTCTCCAGGGGCAGTGCAGACATGCGCGCTGTGTTCCTATGCACAGGCAGGCTGTGAGGTGCCCTGTGGAGAAGATGCATGTTAGATGAGCTCTGTTCAGGCTGGAGTTCTGGTGCTGTGGGCTGTAAACCTCAAAGAACAATAATTGACTGCCTCTCGCCTTAGGAGGATTCATCCTCCTTAGCCTTCTTTTGGCTCTCATTTCTGGAACTTGCCCCATTGGTTGGCATTTCAAAGAAACTGAAGTTTCTAAAAGGAGGTGGTCCCCTGGGACAGTACCTGACACAGCACCTTCCCCGACATCCTTCTTCATCCTCTTCCTTCAAGTGCTTCTTCTGGCCCCAGATCTCCAGTACAGCAGGACTTATCAGAGGTGAGAGAGAGGAGAAACACAGTAATGGCGGAAACTCGGGGGCATCCCAGCAGCTTCTTGCGGCTTTTCAGTTGGCTCAGTGCTGGGAGAAAAACCACTACCTCTCAACTGTTTGGCTTTCCCTGCTCCTAAATCAAATGTTGCCTAAACCTCTGGTTTTCAAACTTGGCTACACATTGGAAACACCTGGGAAGCTTAAAAATTGACTGCTACCTGGGTCATGACTTACTTGGTAGGGGCCACAACCTGGGTGATCGTTGAAGTTTGAAAAGCTTTGGTCTCTAACTAGCTGAAGGGGATTAGCTAGAAGGTCTCCCCCTGCTGAAAGACTTAATGCCCCACATCAGCCTAGCCAATTCAGTTACAGAAGGAATGAGCTCTTCTCATGCTAGTCCGAGACTTCAAGCCATTATAAATGGGATGGTCAGTGTGGTTACTTTCTTTTGACTGTGGTAGATCTAACCATTATTTCTGGAAAGAACACTTTGTAATTGGAATTCATGATTCAGATTTCACCAGAATAACCGTGTGTATTTGATTTCAATTTATTTCAGGTGGCTCAATGGCAGGACAAAGCAACCATATTGTAATAGGCAGCCAAGGTACCTTAAACATTTGATAAGAATTAGTCACCAAACAAGAGTCAGGCACTGAATCTAGTTACTACTTTTCTTTTTCTTTTTTTTTTTTTTAGTTACTACTTTTCTTATTTAAAATATAAAATGGCCTTCTCTGCTGCCCATGCATCATAACGCATTCCTGCCCACCTTAGCAGCCTGCCTTTCCCGCTCACACCTATGTTCATGCTTCTGTAGCTTATTTTGATATTCCCTCTGCAAGAATGCAAGAATGCAAGAATGTGCATACCCCCACCCCCCACATTCACATGCCATTTCTTTGGTGAGGCCTTTCTTGGCCATTCTGGAGAATATTTGTATTTTCCTTTTCCCCCCTCCCTTCAGCACCTTATTCATTAAATCATGACATATTCGAGCACCAGATGTGAGTCACCCAGTGAAGGAATAAGAGAAATCAGCTCCATTTCTCCTGGAGTTTCATTCTGGGGGAACGAACAAATAGACCCTCTCATCCCTCCATAATGGTAGCACTGATCATGAGATTGGGAGCCAGTGATATATGTGTTCCTGCGGACACTTATGAACTCCTCACTGCAGTCCAGGGAATCTGATTTACAGGCAGATCCCCAGAACCCAGCCATTGGAAACTCACACTCTCCAGGCCACACAGTCTAGCTTGGAAATGGATCAACCTGCTTCAGTCCTGGGGGTCTGGTTCTAAGTAGTTGTGCTCCCTTTCTCTCTCTACCTCGGTGTCTTTTTTTCTCTGTTAACAGGACTTGGTGGCACAAAGTACATCTCCTTTGAGGAACGGCAGTGGCATAATGATTGTTTTAATTGTAAGAAGTGCTCCCTCTCCCTGGTGGGGCGAGGCTTCCTCACAGAAAGGGATGACATCCTGTGCCCTGACTGTGGGAAAGACATCTGAAGCCCACACAGCTGCTTGCAACACACATGGATTTATACACTCTCGTTGTCAACCAGGCAGTATTGTGTCTGGTCTCCACCGGCCACGTTGAGACTTTCTTCTTGTGCTTCTCAGTGATACTCACGTTTGTTTAAACCCTTGAATCCTTTGTACTAGTTCAATCCCAGGGAAGGAGGAAACCCTTATGTAAACCCTCAGTGGGAAGATGGTTTTGAATTTTTGTAATCAAGCAAGGCAAATCCAAGTGTAAAAATCCCCTTTGAATGACATCTTTATAAATGTATCTTTCTTTTGCTGCGTATTTAATTTTTAAGTGCAATTAACATGTCGCGAACTCGAGTTTTTTAAACTACATGAGATAATGAAGAGTGGGCATTTACAACTATGTAACTTCCTGTCATGTAAGACCTGGAGCAAGATTATATAGCTTGCAATAAAGTTATCCAGAACAAAATCCTTGGCCACACACAGCGTGCTAAGTAATGATTAAACACTGAAGTTCTGCGCATTGTGGTAAAAAGCACTTTATCGTATGTTCCACTGATCACTGTATGAAGTGCAAGTTCAGACGGGCTGGGTCGGCATTCACGGAGGTCCACCACACCTTTTCTTTCAAAGAAAGCCTTCTGTCAGCACCACAACTTCTTCCTTGCTTTTCATTCCTCTCTCCCAAACCCTCTTTTTCTCTCAATGCTCTGCATTGGATGCAGTGACATAGGCTCCAGAATATGAGCAGCAGAATATGAACTAATGACAGTGAGGACAGTTGTGGGTGTCACTTTTCTTAATATTGCTCGACGCTTTCCCCTTACCATGCGTCCTTACCCTACCCTGACCTGCCTTCTCATCCATAAAGTGAAGGACCGCAAAAGAATACAAGCACCTCAAGGCCAGAGATGACCTTTTGTTCGTCTGTGTGTGCTCAATACCCTAGCAATTTAGGGCATGCTTTGGAAGCCTTCAGTCTTTCTGAAAGGAGAGAAAGGAAAGAGAAAATACAGCTATAAAGATGTGAGCTCCTAGTTTGGCATTGGTCTGCCAAACCATCTGTGAAAGCATATACGATTGGAAAGCACTGAGCCAATTTATGCCCTAGGGCATTGCATATTTCTCTTTTCAGAATGCTAACAATAGTGACTTCTGTCCTTAGTTTTCTAAGTGCAGTACCAAAAGCGATAGGCCGTGCAGCAGAAGAATCTGGTGGACATCAGGTCTCACCCATGCTGAGCACGCTTGAAATCAGTTTCTCAATCTGAGTACTGGACCATATGACAGGTGTCTGACGATGTCTGAGACGGGCCTTCTGAAAACTCCATGGCTCATTAGTTGTTTTGCCTTGTCCTACTTTGTATTATAAAAGTGAAAGCATTCAAAACAAAAAGGTAAACACTTTGTAAATTTCACTGTGGAACACCTTACCTGTTCTCGTTAGATCCTCAGATACACTGGATGCACCCAACCTTAAATTAATAGTAGGGGGAGTTCCACTTCTAGTAACCAGCTCCTACTGGACTCCAGTAACCTTCTGGACAAAATATTTTTAAAACTTTTGAAAACACTGGAGCATGACCCAAAGCAGGAATATTTGGGGGGGGGGAGTAGGCTTCCCATTTTTATTGCTTTTACACAAGGGCAGGCCCTAAAAAGGGAGCTAAAACTCTATTACAAAGCCTGCAGTCTGGGGGCACCTGGTGGTTGAGTGTCTGCCTTTGGCTCAGGTCATGATCCCGGGGCCCTGGAATGGAGTACCACATCGGGTTCCTGGCAGGGAGGCTGCCTCTGTCTCTCATGAATAAATAAATAAAATCTTTATTTAAAAAAAAAAAAAAGGAAAGAAAGAAAATCTGCAATCTTCCTGGCTTGAAGAACCAGAGGCCAGAGCTTGGAACAAATAACCTTTGGAAAGTTAAGAGGGAAAATTGTATGAAAAAGAACCCCAAGGGGGATCCCTGGGTGGCTCAGCGGTTTGGTGCCTGCCTTCGGCCCAGGGCGTGATCCTGGCATCCCAGGATGGAGTCCCATGTCAGGCTCCCTGCATGGAGCCTGCTTCTCCCTCTGCCTGTGTCTCTGCCCCTCTATCTCTCTGTGTCTCTCATGAATAAATAAAATCTTAAAAAAGAAAAAGAAAAAGAACCCCAAGTTCTTTGTATGAAAGCCCTACCAATCCCTGGCTGACAACTTAACCACACACACAGAGGCTAGACTCCAAGCAGTCCAGCCAAGGCTCACAAAACAGTGGGTGGGACTTCGGGATGGAGGTGTGCAGAGCTCAGTGACTGTCTTCCCAGTGTGACAACCATTTAACTGGGAAAATTGTGTGTGTGTGTGTGTGTGTGTGTGTAGACATACCAAATAAATACCTTCAAATCTTGGAAACTTACCCTAAAGGCATGCAGCAAATGGAGAAACATTCAGGAAAATCCACATGTTAATAAGAAGAATGACAGTCTGTAGCCCTTGAGCCATGGACCTCCAGTTTCAGGGGACAGAAGCTCTACTCTGGCAAGTGCAGTCAAGAAGGAAAGACCTACTGGTCTAGGGCTGTGCCCCAGGCATGACAGTCTGAAAATTCGGGGGCTCTGATCACTCCTGTTCCAGCCTGCCCATAGGGAGGAGGCTCCACATAAAGAGGGCAATCTGAGAAGACTAGAGGCTACCATGCTCCCAGGAATAGGCCTGTGTGAAAACATTTATTAGAATATTGGCACACTCTGCTGAGAAGAATCCCAGTCTTCCCTATCCAGCACCTATTTATAGAGGAGGGCTCCTCCAGGGGAAGTAGGACATTGACCAGCGCCCAGGTGTGGGTGGGAGTGGCAGCTCTGAACTAATACATCAGCAGCTCTCCAGGAAGGGACTGTTTGGTACCAAGAATGGAGGAATCTGTGCCTAAGGGGATTATCAGAAATAATTGAGATCTTGGTGGCAAGCAGTTGAGAGGGGGCTGCTAGCTATGTGATACTAGCAGCAAAAAGCAAAATGACAGACTAGTCCAAAGCTTCACAGAGAGAACCAGGTGAAGAGATGGCTAGGAGGAGCCCCCTGGGGGTCCGGGAGACTGTGGGTATGGACTGGACTACACCCGCTCAGAAGTAAACAGAGAGGGACATGGAGTGGACTTGAAAGCATTGTCTAGGCCGCACACACACCATCAGCAAAGGGCAGAAGTCTTATTAGCTCAAAGTGCTTAAGCAGAACCTCTCACCACACACTGGCCAAACATATAAACATCTTCAAGGAATTTTTTTTTTCTTCAAGGAATTAAAGGAACACGTATGATAGTAATTCTCATCAAATAGAGAACACCAATAGAGGGATAAATGTTATAAAAGAATCAGATGGAAATTCTGGAATTTAAAAGTATAATCACCAAAATGGCAAATTCACTGGAGAGGATCAATAGTACAATTGAGAGAAGAAAAAAAAATCAGTTCACAAAAAAATCAGTGAACATTATTTCAACACAGAAATTATGAGATTTGAAAAACGAGGAAAAGAAAAATTAACAACCTTAGAGCACTGTGAGATGCTGTTAAGTGAATCAACATATGCCTAATGGGAACATCAGGAGAGGAGACAGAAAAGGGACAGAAAAAATTATTTTTTAAGAATGTCTGAAAACTTCCAATTTGATGAAAATTTTTTGTAATTTAAAAACACATCCCAAGACCACCTGGGTGGCTCAGTGAGTTAAGCATCTGCCTTCAGTCCTGGGAGGTTCCCTGATGAGCCAGATACCTGCTTCTCCCTCTCCTTTTGCCACTCCACCTTCATGCTCTCTCTCAAATAAATAGAAATCTTAAACACACAAACATCCAAGAAACTGGACAAGCTTGGAGAAGAGAGTTTGAAGTTTGAGTCCAACCACACACAAAAGCCTAGTCTTATCTCCAGCCTGGCCCTACTCCTACTCAGCTCTCTATCAGTCGGGAATCATGACACTGCATGGTATTTCTGACTGGCTGTATGACAATCGTTTTTATTAAGCAAGACTTTTTATTAAATTGCGAAATAAAACATACATAGAAGCTCATAATAAAAGGTGTTAGCAGGTAAAACTATAGAGATAGAAGTCAGAATAGTCGTTACCTCTCTAGGAAGGGACATGAGAGAAGCTTCTGGAATGCTGGAAATAGTCTGTACTGTGGTTGGTAAACTATGGTCCGTGGCCAAAACCTGCACACCGCCTATTTTCCTAAACAGTTTTATTGGAACACGGCCATCCATGCCTATTCATTTACCCATCATGTGGCCAAAAGAAGCATCTTACTATCTGGGCTTTTTTTTTTTTTTTTGTTTTAAAATTAATTTGTATTGGTGTTCTAATTTACCAAAACATACAGATTATCTCCCATGTGTCATCCCGTCAAGTGTACCCCCCAGTGCGTTCACCCATTCACCCCACCCCCCACCCTCCTCCCCTCCACCACCCCTAGTTCATTTCCAGAGAGTTAGAAGTCTTTATGTTCTGTCTCCATTTCTGATATTTCTACCACTTTTCTTCTCCCTCTCCTTATATTCCCTTTCGCTATTATTCTATTCCCAATGAATGAGAAACATACACTGTTTGTCCTTCTACGTGTACTGTGGGCCAAGTCAAAAGGTGTTGCCTGAGATTCTCCTCTGGGTATTTTGATGGAATCTTGTCTCACTATAGATCTGCACCCTTGCTCTATTTCTTGGTTGGGATAGTGGTTACATATTTAGGCATATAGATTTTTAAAACTTTACAGTATTTTATGATACCTCAATAAAAATTAAAATATGTATGTTATGTAGTGTTGTGCATTGGAGAGTTATTTTAAAACTTACCTTTTTCTTGAAACAAAGCAAACTTGCTTGCTCTTTATGTGGCTATTCTAATACATGAAAGCTCTGAGGGTCCGTTTGTACCACCTGATGTTTCTATTGACCGTCATGCTTGGTACCATGTTTCCTTGGATGGTTGGATAATTTTAACTAGTGCTAGTCACTGACTCTGACAAATGATCTGTGGGGGTTTCCTCAGGCTCAGGATGAGCCTGTCTTCCCTCAAGATGATTTCTACCTGCCCCTGCCACATGCCTTCTCCAGGAACAACTTCCAGGTCACTTCCTGTGTGTCTCTCACCATCCTGGGATATCAAATGTGGCCATGAATCTGAGAGCCGGCTCGCATATTTCTAGCCTCCACCACATCTCTTCCTATTTTCCTGTCCTTTCTTCTTTTCCTTTCCTCTTGTCTTCCCTCCCTCAGCAGGGCAGGTTTACTTCTAACTTACCTTGACCACATGGGATTGCTCTTTGGGTAAATCTAATAGCTCTGACCCCAAACAAAGCAAATAAAATAAACATTGTTAATTCCTGTCTTGGAAACACAGTCTACAATACTGAGACTTATATTGATCTTACCTCCTACTTTAGTACCTTGGAGCTTTGATTTAAAATGCCTACCTATCTTGTAGAACAGATTATATATTTATTAGAATT